GTAACTGCTGTCGGTCTGACTTAGTAGTGTGTGACTAAAGCAAAAATTTTAATCCTGAGTTAAGATATAACCTTGTTTTTTGCTTTTCTTAATACCTAATAATTAACCGTATCTCTTGTATAAGACAGAAATTGAAAAGGTGATACTGTGTGCCATGTGTAGGGATGGACACTGAAATAATGTATGCTTAATTGTTGTTGGAATTTGTACTTTGAACAGTGTTGTGGAAGACGTGATGGTAGTTTGAATGAAATCGATGTCTTCTGTAATGTAGAAGTCATACAGATGTTCTCCAAAATTTCTGCACTTAGGCACGCAAAGGTATTAAGTGTTTACTTTCACTGGATTCTCTACAGTGATATCTGAGCAGTATCCAGATTATGGAAGTTCCTATAATAAAGGTTTTCATGTTTCTCTGGGTTTTTTTTTCCCAATATGAATACATATATATATTTTTTTTAAGGTGATTACTTTGGCTATTGCAAGTTGCTGATGGTGGATTAGTAGAATGTGGACTGTTAAAGTAATGAAAGGTATGCTATCATATTTCTCAAATTATATATAATTTTGTTTTTTATTCACTTGATGTTCATGGGAAGTCTGATCTCTCGTGAGTGTGTTGCATAGTCATTTAAGGTAGGATTTGTTTGGCTTAGCTTTGACTGTCTGAAAGCTAGGTATCTAGTCCAAGGCTGTGATTTCGTGAACATTTGAGCTCATGATGTGACAACTCTCTGCTCCTGAAAGGAGAAAGCCTTGCTCTTCCTCCTGCCTATTTACTTGGCTCTTTGTTCCTTTCTCCTAGCCAGTACCAGCTGCCTACTTTCACTGCTGATGTAGCTTGTTGGATTTTTCCATGAGCTAGCATGACTCACTGACCTCACAGAAAACCTATTGAGTGTTTTCTGCTTGTTTAAGTGTGTTGGCTTCTTGTGCTAACGCAGTTCGTGGAAAGGTCTGATGAATGACAAATCTAGGAATGGGGATGAAGACAGGAGGAGTGGAACTCACTGGTGACAGTGAGCTCTTGTATTGGATTACACTTTTTCATTAGTTCGTTATCTAGTCTTACTGTAGACCCTTAAGCAGGGATGAGAAAGGGTAGTGTCTGAAGAGTCACTTTCATGAGGCTGGGCTTCCTTTGAGTGTCTCACTTACTCTTTCAGGCAAATAGTTTATTGTTTCACAAGACCTTAGCTGATTTGATTAGAAAAAAAGAAAAGAAAGAGCGTGTAAAGAGGTCTAGAGTTCTGACAGAAGCAGGCAAATGGATTAAACCATGCATTGTGTGAAACAGCTGTTTGGCTTTCAACAGATTTTACTGAGAATTTTACTGCTTGAACAAAACATGGCACAAGGCTAAATACTGTTAATTTTTTCATCAGTAGTTGCAAAATTACATTCATTGTATCATCTAACTGTTTAAAACAGTGTTCAAATATGATAAATTTATGTGTGTTAAGTGTGGCTGTGGTATGGAAAGCAGAGCCATGAGTGAGTTATATATGTCACCCAGGTGAATTACCAATACATGCTGAAATAATGTAATTTGGTTATGCCTAATAAGCTAGAAGGAAGCCTTGTGGTTGTAAACAACATACAATAAAAGTTGTAATATAAATATTATATGATATCTTCATATTTTTCTCTAAATACAAGTATTCTCAATTTTAAGTGTGGCTGGGGGGTGGAAAGGAGGGGCCATGGGGGTATAAATTTTCTCACCATTTTAAGTGCTTGTAGCAAACAAAAAGTTAAAATAATGTAGCTGAAAAATCTTGTAAAAGAAGAAAAGCCCTTTCACGATGTGTAGATATAAAGAAGAGGGAGATGTAAAGTAGGTCTTTAAGCAAGTTTATTTGCATCTCCCAGTATGCTAATAAACAATTCGAGAAGAAAGGCAAAGCAAAGGTGATTCTTGGAAATATAATTGAGTTACTTCACTTAGCTAGATATTCTACAATAATTATTGCTGTTTTAGCTACTGAGTGTGCATTTTTTAGGTTTCAGGACTCTGCACCAATACCTTTATATGTATTCCTGCACAAAATGATGTTAAGATTTCATAGTATGAATTCGGGGCAACTGATGCAAGTCCTGTAACATGATAAAATTTGGCAAGTATATAGGTGGAGAATTAATTTTAGATATGATGTGGGTTTAGTTTCTTTAAAGTATGTTTTATGGTTCTCTACTTCTTGAACAGATCTCCAAGAGAGGAAGAAATTTTAACTAGTGTTCCTTTAAAGTATTTCTCAAAAATTATGGGCATAGTCTTGTATAATTTTGAAGATTATTTAAGGTCTGTTCATTGACTATGAGCAAGTACTGTAAGCCATTAGCACAGAAGAAATTCTTGTTAGTAATATACTTACAATATTTGTAGCCCTAAACACTGTTGACTATTGATGGTTCACTGCCAGGAATTATTTTTCCATTTGGGGAAATAAAAAAAAAAGTTTTTTATTTGTAAGAATGTGAGTAGGTTAAATATTACAAGTTGCTATTAATGATTTCAACGAAAGAGCTCTCGTGAAGTAATGAAATCTCTATGTTATTGCAGTTTGTTTCACAGTTGTCACCCGGAATGCAAATCATGGAATGTGCCACTAGGTGTCCCTGCAAGCCAAAATAGTTTTGTTTCCTTAAATACACACTGCTTCGGGTTTTGTAGTCTGAAACAACTGTAAGCTACAATTTTTTCCCTCTGTTCTTTCCTTTTTTCTTTTTCATGAAATCTTCATGCAGATGAATACATGACCAGGTGTGTGTCTTGCTTTATAATTTGTGCACTTTTTGATAGTAGCAAAAGCTGTGAGGAGAGAATATGCTTCCCACCTGCAGCAGCTTGGAATTGAGAGTACAAAAGGTTGCATTTCCATTTATCTTTTCCTTTTGGTTGATATGCTCTCGGAAAACGCCGTGGTTTTTTGGTGTCTTTGACTTTATATCTCTTATGCCACTTCAGAAATACTTCTTATTCAAGTAGGCTGCAGGATTCAGACCCGACTTTAAATCCTGTGTTCCTAATTCTGAATTTTGGATTACAGCTTGATAGTTACATTTGGTATCTGTAGTTTATGAAAGCAAAGACCTGAGACAGAGAAAGGTACTATTGCCTGGTGTTGGGTTTTCCCCTACCCTCCTCCCCCCCCCCCAGTGATCATGATAGCCCTGTTGGTATGCTTAGAAATTCTTAGGGATGTGCTGCCTTGGGTTTTCTCTGTGTACCAGAACTTAATCTTCTCTCACGTGGTTTACTGTCCTTAGGATCACTGACCAGTTCTCCTCATACAGCTGTTGGTTTAACAGTTGAAAATGTCTTCATATTGAGTTTGGAAATTGCTGTTGTCCTTTGTTTCTCAACAACCAACAAAATTCAGGAATGAAAAATAGATACTGTATTGATTAGAAGATTCTTTAGAACTTGTGCTATTGATGTTTGAAATTGGTTGTGCATATAGGACAGTCACTGAGGAGAAAGTTCTTTATTTTGATTTCTTCCCCCTTATTCTCTCAGCAAATTTGAGGAAAGCAGGATACGAAGTTGCTGTTGCTGCTTTGCCTATACTAGTGTTGTAACTCCGGTAGACTTTTCTCTGACCTTTTTCCATCTTAGTGATGAAGGAAGTAAAAATGGGAAAGAAAACTTAAACGTAAGACTTTCTTGACATTATTACGTCTTTTAGCGGAATGGACACTGACATGCAATGTTTATTTTCCTATGTGGAAGACAGATTTTCATCTTGCTGATAGTTCAGGGGTTTATAAAGTCAAATGGTAAGCATTTAAGACAGATCCATGAAAGACTGAAAGAGTGGAATGGTACAAAACATTGAATATTCAACGGTACATGTAAAGAAGGTGAGGTACTTGCAGTGATGATGGAGATTTAACATTTTTCCTGTTTGAGTTTTACTTTGTACAAAGTTACACTTTGTATGCTGCAAGCATGGATTTCTTAGGCATCGGTCCAGTTATGCCAAAAGCTAAAATGGCAGAGTAGTTGGTTTCAAAGCTTTGTAATGTCCCTAAAATTCAGTTACAGTCCTCCCTCCCCCAGATCCTTTAGAAGTGTCAGTAATGATCAGATTAATACATCTTGCTTCTAATATCGAAAAGAACTAATGAGGCATATTAGAATACTTCCTCATTTCTCAGCATCTGTTGATTTGCAGATTCCTCACACCAATCTGATGTTGTCACATTTAGTAAAACTCTTTCTGAAAAGGTCACAAGAAACCACGAAATAAACTTTGAAAACGAGGAAGTGACAAGTGTCAATGATATATTTCAGGGCTGAAGTTTGGACAGGTATCTTCCAGACTGTCCATGAAACCTTAACTCTTCTCCAGAGAGTGCTTGATAGGAATTCAACGGTGAGAATTATCTGCCTTTCTTCCAGCTGAAACGATGGTGTGGTGTATTGAGTAGTACAACTTGTTAGGTAGTGTGACAGACTGTGACTCTGATAAGTAGTAATAAAAGCTATATGTGTCTGATATCTGTGACCTCTGCTTGAACCCTGGTTAACAAGGCATAATTAGGGCATTACTAGCATCATAGTTTGATTCTCAGTGTACAGCATAAGTAAAAATAACATTTCATGTAATCTGTCAGATAGAAGTGCTTGTGCTCATTTTGTATTGACTCAGATAATCTCCATGTTTAAGTTTATTCTGTGCCCCTGGAAGGACTATTACTTTTCAGGGCAGGCAGAATGAGCAGAGGAGTTGCCCTTTCAGTAGAAGTTTCTAACCTGAGTTACAGCAGAGCAGGATTATTCTGTACTGAAAGCAAAAGCAGCATGTGAAATCTTTGAACTGTGAATGTACTTGATTGCTAATTACATGTCCTTGTATTTGTTCAGGTGACTTGATCTTCTGGGATGTCAGCAGAAAAAGTGGATGGCATTGTAGATTAGTTATAAGTTAATTTTTATTTTGTCCTTTCCGTACTCATCGTGAACAGTCATCATAAAATGGATGCTTTGGGCAGTCTCCTTCCTTCTGTGGCTGGAAATGGTGATACAGCTAATTCACAAGAATTACAAAAACTTCTGATTGATGAAAAAATGCGATGTGAACACCATAAAGCAAATTATCAAACTATAAAGGCAGAACATCTAAGGTACACTAATTTAAACAGGTTTCTTCATTTGAGCTGTTAAAAGGTGAAGCTAAATGTTAGGTGGAAGGGATTTGTGTGTGTTAGCTATTTCTGTATTTAAGGACAGATTTGAGCGTTGGTCATATTGGAAAATAAACAATTCGAAATGTCTTAAGACATTGCAGATTATGTTTCTGCAATACTTTTTATGCTTATAAATATGGGATAACTTTTCAGTATATTACAGGAAGAGGATATTAGTAAGCTTAGTTCTAACTTGGTATTTGTCTGCTTCTGCATGTGAGTTTTTTGAGCTTTAAGATCTAATTTTACAGAGTAAATGTAAAATAAATACGTATTTTATCTTGCAGATTACAGGAGGAATATACAAAATCACAAGATGAACTGAAGCGGTTGTTAGTTGAAAAGCAGACTGTACATGACAAATTTCAGTTTCTTCTTGCAGAATATCGAGAGGAGTTGCTGGGTAAAACACAAGAGCTGGAAAAACTGAAGATGCAGGTGAGAATTTACTGGCAGGACTTAATATGAATTTTAATCCTGTAACAGGGCCATGCATATATTTCTGCTTATGTAACATGTATATACCTAGCTTGCATATATTTCAGATATCTTGAAATTCACCCAACCTGAGTAACGTTTCTTCTCTAGAGTGACTATGGGTTGAAATTATTGTTTTCTTGTTTAACTGAATCTTCCAAATCCTGTTGTTATGTGCTATGTCAATAAGACGACCCTCAGTCTCTGTCTGTGTGTGCTCTCCTGTTATGGGGAGAATCATCTGCCCTGGGGGATAAGTGACTGGAAAAATAGACATTTGTTTCTCTTTGTGATGACAGCTTTCTTCATCTTAAAAAAAATCCCAACAAACACAAAACCAGACAAAAACCCCCCAACATTTAAGATAACTTGGATGACACTTTCTATAACTGCTTGTTTGCTTAAACTAACGCAGGACATGTTCTTAGGAAACAAATATAGCATCTAACAAAGGATCCCAGACTCCGAATGGAGGAGATGTGCCTTGGTACCATAACTAGAATTAGTTTTCAGGGACTTCAGGGTACAGATAAGTGGAAGAAAAGTAGAATAAATTATAATATGTCACAGGTCGTGGATGAAATTTTTTTTTAACACTTTTTCTTGGTAGATAGTTTGCTGTTTTAACCACACCCAAGAAAACTTAATAAAATACCATGCAGCATGGAGCTTAAGGCAGGGAATCTTTCCTGATCTTAGTTTCATTTCAAACCAGTACCCATGTATCTGTTGGGAAGCATGTATCTAATGTGTTTTACAAAGAATTGGTTTGGTATTGCTCATTTTGATTCTTTGGGGTTGGTTCACTTACTGTTTAAGTTTTTCCATATGCTAATTCTTTATCTTTTATGTATGACCACTTTTCCTTCCCCCACAAAGGAGATAAATCTCCTGGCAATTCAGCTTGACATTTGTATTGCTTCTACCAGTAAATACTGACATTTTAAATGCTTCTGTTATCTTCCCAGAATATGTTTAGTTCACTAGTATCATGATTTTTTGCTTCTGTAACTACTACTGAAAATTCTTTAGAAAAACATAGAAAATTAAACAGGATTCCTAAAATCATACTTGAAATACTTTATTCCTGGCTATTTGTCCTATCACAGTGTAAATAAATGAATATGACTAGTTATTTATGATACCTTTCTGTCTCTAGGTGCTAACTCCTCAAAAATTAGAACTGTTAAAAGCACAAATACAGCAGGAATTGGAATCTCCTATGACAGAACGTTATCGGAAGCTAGAAAATGTAAGTAGTAAGTGTTGAAATTCTGTTTCATTTAAAGTAATGATCACCAGTTTATAGTTGTTCCTAAAACCTTAGGAAATTAAAACTGAAAGGGGAGCAAAGTATGACATTCTTTATCTGGTACTTTCCAGTACTGTTGCCCCAGGCAGTGAAGGTTGAAACTCCAGAAAAGGGATTAGGAGGGATTCAGTTCATCAAATATAACTTGTGAAATTATAGGAACATTGCATGGACATTTGAAGGAAATAAATCTGAAAACTTCTGATTGATGTTTTTGGTCTTTTTATCTAACTTAGGAAGTGGAAAAATACAGAACAGAATATAACAAACTTCGTTATGAACATACTTTTCTGAAATCAGAATTTGAACATCAAAAGGAAGAACACGCACGTATTTTAGAAGAGAAGAAAATAAAATATGATGCTGAGGTGCATACATTTTAAGCTACTGTAAAATTCTATCTGATGACAAAGCTGCTTGAACATTGTGAAAATGTTGGTACTTGAAGGGTTGTCAGTTTGACACCTTTTCATAATGTAGTGTTTGTTTCCGTTCTCTTAATTCTCAAAACACTTGTGACTTAGCCTAAAGTTGTCTCTGTAGGTTTTTTCAGTCATGTGTCACAATATAATTCGTGCTATTACAAGTAAGAATAGACTTGCCTTCTGATAAATGACAACCAGTAGCTTTGCTTAATGCTTTTTTTTAGTCGCATGTGTGATGGAATTTGAGACATTACGCTAATCTGAAATTAGTGAGTTATCTGAGCAACTGATGTAAGTTTAATTTTAAATTACTTATGTAGCAACTAATCCAAGAAGAAGGCAGCAGAAGATATTGTTAATACCAGGCAAGGGTACATTTTGCAACTAAGTTGAATCATGCCAGTGATGGTCAAAAAGATACTGAAAACTTTGGTAACTTTATTTCAGTTGTATTAACTCTTGAAGAAACCATTCATGAACTTTCTGTTTCAGAATTGGACTATCAGAAGTGTAGCTAAATAAATCGCCAGCTTATTTATGTTTTAAATATATGCAGCACTGTAAATGAGTGTTGCATATGTAATTTGCATATTCATGTAAGTATTTGTCTGGGAGCATATATCCGGAGATGTATTAGTCCAAACATGAGACACAAATCAAAGCAATGATGGCTTTCAAAATCAATCCCAATTTGCAAATGCGATGCATTAAAAACAGAACAGTTGTCCTTCCCAGAGCTAAATCCACATGCTGCTTTACAGCCTGCCTCTCTTGTGGGCTTGTTGAGTTTGTGCTAGTCCTGCAGCTAATTAGCACACTTGCAGAGAATGAAACTACCTTGAGCCCAGGGCACAATGTGATCTAGTTTCTCTCTCTTAGAGCCTTTTTAACCTTCCATGCCATTTAGCACAAGGAGGCTACAAAAACATAGAATCATTAAGGTTGGAGAAGACCTCTAAGATCATAGGATCCTACTGTCAACCCAACACCACCATGCCCACTAAACCATGTCCCTAAGTGCCTCATCTACACGTCTTTTAAATACTTCCAGGGATGGTGACTCAGCCACTTCCCTGGGCCTCCTGTTCCAATGTTTAACCACTCTTTCAGTAAAGAAACTTTTCCTCATGTCCAATCTAAACCTCCCCTGGCGCAACTTGAGGCCATTTCCTCTCGTCCTATCGCTTGTTACTTGGGAGAAGAGACCGACACCCACCTCGCTACAACCTCCTTTCAGGTAGTTGTAGAG